GAGCTAAGGAGAGAAACATCAAGAATAGAAGGGGGGGCGGTGCAGAAAATAGTCAGTACAGAGTTGACAATGTTGAACTTTACTTGAGCCCTGCTCTCCCCAAAAAACAATAATAATAAAGAAATCCTTCCTACCACTTTCTTCCAGAATTGGCTAACCTCAAAGGACCACCCTGCCCTAGCATATTCTAAAATAAGACCTGTCTTCATCCTTCCTTCCTTTTTTTTTTGAGATGTTCCTCAGAAATGAATGTTCTCCCTATAGCAATAGCCTGGATGAAATTATCTCCCTAAATGTCTGGTGCATTTTGTCGTCCACAAGAACAAGATGTACCAAGATACAGAGGCAAATGCATGCATAGGCTGACCTGGGGAGGGGGGATAGAGGAGGAAGAAAGGGAAAGGGTGAGGCTGAGGACCAGAAAGAACAGCCAAAAGTTAAGTTGGGAGCAGAGGTGATGAACCTTGTATTTTGGGCAGTTTGAACTTTATGGTGTAGGCAACAGTTACCAAATATTCTGAACCATGGGAGAGGCAGATGCATGCTTTAGAAAGAGAACTAGAAGGAGTATTAAGAATTGATGGAAAGGAAGACTGCCCCATTTGCAAGTGAAGAAATGAGTTGAGGAAAATGTGGAGCTAAGAGATTAGTAAAGACAGTAGTAGAAGAGGTGAGAGGAAGGGAGTAGAAATGAGGTTTCAACATAAAAGCAACAGAACTGACAAACGATTGAACGTAAATGGTAAGAAACACTTAGAAGCTACTGTGTGGTTTTTTAGCTTGAATTGCTTACTACATGATGATTCTATGAACTGAAATAGGAAATCTTAGAAGTGATAAAGATTTGGGGCAGGATGTGGTGGAGATGGAGTGGGAATTGAAGTTCAGAAGTTGGATATATATATATGCACACATATACATATAGTTAACACATATAAGTGATTAATGATGTGAGTTAATATATTGATAGAAAATTACTAATAAAGTGACTTAATATAACAAATATATAATATAATATATTAATGATTAATGATGTGAGTATATATAAAACAATGACTGGATAATCATCAGAGTTTTTCTGAGATAGTTGCCACTTTGCACTCTAGAAAAAGCAATTGGAACAAAAATCAAAAAGAATTTACATTGATTTCCTTATAGGGAGAAGACAAGCTAAAGAAAGGTAAGGAAATGGAAAGAAAGTGACCTGGAGTGATTTTTGCCATCCATTTAGGATGGAGGGGATTGAATTATAGGCTGTTCTGGAACAATCAGATAACAGTTACCTCCATCTCTTCCTTTCAAGTGTGGGATTCAGGAAGATCATCTAGTTCAATGGCTTAATTGCATGTATATTTACACAAGAACCAAGAAGTTAAGGAACATATTAAAAAGTAAGTGTAGGTCGTGCTTCCTGGTTTAGGAAGTGAGCTCCTGAAACTAGCTTCCTGGTTATAAGCTGGGTTATGAAGTCCTTGCTGGAGTTCTCCACGAGGCAGTCGCTGCCAGCCATTGGGATGATCCGTGAAAGGAGAACACGAGTAAACACTAGTCCTGAGAAAGTGCCTTAGGACTTTACCATGAAAATGTCCGCATTCTTGCTTTCCTTGACAAAGCACAGAAAGAAGTAGAGATAATAGTAAATACATAAACTAGAAAGAAGCTAACAGAAGGTATAGGAATTGCTTGGACAGGTTCATGGAATGTCATAATATTATATAGGGAATATTCAGTTCAAAGGACTAAATTTTCCTAATGTCAATGGTAGCTAGCTAAGGAACAATCTTTCTACTTTTTCAATCTAGTGGAAGATACCACTGAAAAAGTCACTTAAAATTGATTGACTGAAACACTTAAGGGAAGCAAAAGAGGGTAAAATATGAATTTTGGCAGGAGAGAGGCCGGAAAGGCATTCCTTATTTCTATTTTTGGCATCTACTGAGTGAACTGATCAGTTAACACCTGCCTGCTCAGGAAGGCAGTCTCTAAACACTGAGGAGCTTGATGAATCAAACCTTCGATAGCTAGATTTCAATTTCTTTTCTTTCTCTTTCCCTCAAATGAACAAAGGCCAGGAAATATCATACATCTGCAGTAACCAGCTTTTTAAATACTCAAATCACAAGGCAATAATCAGAAGTTTCTGTTTTCAGGAATGATTCTAATAAAATAGAGAAAAGCAAAAGTTATTTTTAGAGGAAGGAAACTTCCAGCAGATTTTTTTTTCCTGAAATGATGCTTGTCTCCCCCCGATTGTAAAAAGTAGCATATGGAACTCCAGTAGACATGATGCCATAAGTTAATGCTTTGACATATCTGTTCTCTTCCAAAAACAGAGTACAGATTGATAAAAATACAGAAAGAGAAAACCAGAAAGACATCTAGAGGTCAAAAAGCAGAAAAAAGAGAAGGGCAGGATGGCAGAGAAGACCAAAAAGAAAAGGTCTCTAAAGGGCCAAGCTTGAAGACACAGGCCTACTGTGCTCCAAGTCCAGAAACAGGCAGGTGGCAATGATTGGAACTTCAGCTTCTACTGGGGTTTGGGGACTAAAAATGTTCTCTTGAAACAGGTGACCTAGCTTCACCCCCAGACACTGAACCATGCTCCTTCTGGCTTAGTGTAATATTACCACGCAGCAGGAGACCCAACTTGTTCTTGACTAGGGGCCAAGGACTGCACAAACTATTAGACAGGGAGGGAGGAGTACAAGAAAGAGCCAAAGAAAACAATGGCACCAACAAACGAACACCCTCCCATCAAAATGACCTCCAATCCCAAACTCAAAAACGCATGAACAAGTAATATTAATACAACTAAATCAACGACCTACAGAACTGGACAAGAAGATACTGATAAATCTCAGTTATGCTGAACATTTGAATACACCTGTATTAGAGACTGAGAAGTGAAGAATAGAAAAATATCAAGAATATGAATGATGTAAGCAATATCTCGTTTTGTTTTTGTTTTTTTTTTTTGCAATATCTCATTCTTGACCAGTGAATCCTGCAGGAAAGTCAGCTGGGAAAAAACTCTTACGGAAAAGACTTTCTCCCCTGAGAAAAAGAGAGCTAGGTGAACAGAAGTTTTCCTTTCTTCCTCTCCTGGTACATGATGACACACTGCCTGGAGCTGTGTCAGCATCCTGGCCCATAAGGGTGAAACGCAGCCGAGCACTGAGACGTGGGCAGGAAAGTGGACAGTGCTGGGCTCTTGATTACATCATCGGGCTACTGAGCTACCCCAGAACCCCTACCAGCAGACTTCGTCCCATGTAAGCTGAGGCCCCAACAGCTGCCTCTTCCCGCCCTTGCTTGGTGAGAGCCTACAGCTTGCCAGGACTATCATCGTACCACCAAGCACCCCCACTCCTCCCCATTCCTTTCTGGGGCTTTAGAGTCAGGCGGTGGGGGGAGACTCCAGCAAGTCACTCAACTCTCTGAGCCTCATTTCCTCCTCTATAAAGTGAGAATGATAATAATACCTACTTCATAAGGATGAGGGGCAATTAAATGAACTCAAGTACTTCACACAACATCCAGAGCATTCCATAAATGTGGGCTATTGTGGGGGGGTGTTCTCCCAGGGTTCCACAGAGTTTTACATAATCACAGGATAATGGCAAGGCTATCGTTTGTTTAAACCACACCTGCTGATGTAGAAGTAACGCCAAGCTCTGCTAAAATATGGGCAAACACGCCTCAACATTTTAAACATGTATAGATTTTTTAAAACTTCACATTGTGGGGCGCCTGGGTGGCTCAGTTGGTTAAACGTCTGCCTTCAGCTCAGGTCATGATCCCAGCATCCTGGGATCGAGCCCCGCATTGGGCTCCTTGCTCAGCGGAGAGCCTGCTTCTCCCTCTCCCTCTGCCGGCCGCTCCCCCCTGCTTGTACTCTCTCTCTCACTATCTCTCTGTGTGTCAAATAAATAAACAAAATCTTAAAAAAAAACAACTTCATGTTGTAAATTTTATGATACTTATTTTTACATCTCCAAAATTTACCCTAAGGTTCTTATTCTTGGAGGAAAACAAACCTGAAGGCAAAGACAATAACCTTTTCTAAGCAAAGGACAGTAAAATATCATCCTCTGAAGTATTAAAACGGTACTTAAATAGCTAGACAATTCCTGGTCTTCGAAGACAGTTCACAGTAAAGATATTAAATTGCTGCTAAGGGTTTAGACATTTAACTTTCAAGAAGTTAGATTGATGATGATCATTATTTTCAATACTGTTGCATATTTACCCAGCAGATTTCCCCCAAAGAGCTGAAGGGCTTAACAGAAACCTGAAAGCCAAGGTGCTGCAGGCCAGAGGCCTTGAACTAGCTCGATGCCTGCCGTTGGAGTAACAGAAACCCCAGCGGGGAAGAGGCAAGGAGCCGCCTCCACCTGGTGTGTGCTCTGTGCAAGCATCCCCAGCTCCGAAGCAACAGGAAAAGAACTTGGAAACTACACTTCAAGCCTTTGCTGCAGAGCACAGCCCAGCTGAGGCCTGTCACCCCCCTCAGCTCAAGTACAGTCTGTCCGAGCCCCAGAAGCAAAGGGCACTGCTCCTCCAGCATTTGTTTGCTTCCTCCTCATAAGAGGGCTGGGGAGCACAGTCTGGACTGCAGTCCACACCCAGAGATGCCAACGGCTTTCCTCATGCTGGGGGAATAGGATGGGAGCCCGGCATTGAGCTAACGTCTATTCAGCTGGGAGACATGGGGCAAACCAGCTAATCTGTAATCTGTAAATACTCAGGGCTGGGATTGATCTCCAAGGTCCCCATCAACGTAAGAGCCTATGTTTCTAAGGTGACAGCAAAACAAGACGGAAAATACATGTAAAAGAAATTTAAAAAAACTTTAATTTTATAAAAAGTGACCTCATGGTTAGAAGAGTCATGAAGCGAGTGGTTCAAGCAAAGATTTCACAAGCTGAATTACAAATAAATGAAACTTCAGTCCATTAACACAGTCTTCAACACTGTGTGACAGATAAAAGATGACTTACTGGTGATTCAATGTCTTCTAGGAGTAAAACAGAACAGCGTTCACATTTCAACAGAGTTTGGGCCCGATGCATTATTTTCTTGACAATTTTCTCCAGGTCAGTCTGTTCTTCAAAGAGGTCATTAACAACCTCTAGCAAAGCCTAGGAAAGATAAAATGGATGCATTTAGGTGGGTATAGGACTGAATAAAAAAAATTTTTTTTCCTCTCAAAATTCCATTTGGTGTTTGCTATAATAAAATATAAATATTTTTGTGTGGCTAATTTTTAAAGCATTGATCATTGTTTCGACATAGTCCATCATTTTGTTTTATAACACAGTTTTGAACTGAAAAATACAACTTGAGAATAGTGTCAATCCATATAATCCTATATAAATCCCACATACAGCTATAGGACTATCTCCCGAGGAGCTAATGACTACACAATCCCATTTAGTCCGCTATAGCTCTAGGCTTCCCTCCCCAGCCCCACTTCACAGTAGTTTTTCTGTAACATAACTAGGTATAAACCCAACATTTTATAAATTATGAATACCTGATTCTCTCCAAAGAACATTTATTTCAGAAAATTACAAAGCAGCTCTTCCTCACCCAGGAAGAAATAGGTTCATGGTCAGACTTGAGACTTATTTTCCCTAATACACATCTCTCACAGCACTCTGAAAGAATTATAGGGGTGAATACTAATTAAGCTTCAGAGCCTTCAAAAAATATATAAAATCCCCATTAATCCCTCTACATAAGAAGTATTGCTTCATCTCACCTGTCCAGGAAAACACAGATACTAAAATATATCTCAGGAAAGAAAATACCATTAAAATTTCTGTTAACAGAATGAAAAACACACAAATTAAAGAAAGAAAACCTTAGATGAATGACTTGAAAACTTGAAACTAACTTGAAAACTAACTTGAAAACCTGCATACTCACTTAAAAATCAAATGGTAATAACCTCTCATTTTATCCAGCTAAGTTAGCTTGCAATTTTTGCATTGAAATAATATTTATTTGGAATTTTTAATAACATGGCTCTTTCCAGAGATTTCAGAATAGTGGGCTATGTACAGGTAGTAGGTATTATGCTTCTACCAGAGAGCAATCAGAAAATTACACAGCCAGTGAATTGGCCAGAAGGTGCTTCGTTCAACAGAACTTAATAAGATGTACACTCTCAGGTCTGACCTCTCACAAAAGGATTTTGTGAGTTTTCAAATTCACCTCTATTCAGGTAGATGGTGTTGATGATCATCCCAGGGAAATTTTCAACTTTAGTAATGAATTTGATTTGTCCTGAAACCATTGGAAACATGTGAAAATTTCTTCTCTGACTCTATTCAGGTAGAAAAGCATTTGAATGAGTTAAGGGATCCATGAAATGAGTCTAGTTCACTGAGCATCTAAAAGAGGATCAAATATCCTTGGTGGCATTTTCTTTAAAGAGAACCTCTGAGTACGGCTAAGGGCCTGGGTGGCTCTATGATCCTGAAGAGGAGAAACACCAGGAGGTGAAAAAAGTTTTGAGTGTATCCTGACTGTTTGAAATTTGGGCAGCAAATTGCTGTAAGAAGTCAATGTGCAATAATTTCATATTTAAATATAACATTAAAAATGAGGCAATTGTCTGAATAATTACCAACACAATTCCCTGTTATTAAGGGGGAAAACATTATTCCTTAATCATCCAGACTATTTCTTCAGATGGATCATATTAACTGAACAATTATTTAACTTTTCAATTTGTTGTGACTGTGTGAATAAGGCCCCTGGGACCCATATACAAGAACATTTATCTCAGAGGAAAAACTAATTGTGCCTTGAGTCTTGCACTGACAAATCACATCATAGTAATTTTACTGTTTCTAATTAAAAATTGCTGCTTTACTAACAAGTGATAAAAGTTTCACAAATAATACAGACTAACTCCACGATGGGAGAAAAAGAGAAGAAAATCTTGGATGATGGGCAATTCAACAGACATTGGAGGCTCTTCACACAGCTGAACACTCCCTGTTTCTTGACTTCCCTTGTCTTGGCCCCCCTCCTTCGTCTAGTGCCTTCTTTTGCTCCTGAGCTCATCCTTGGACCTTTCCCTTTCTCTTATCTACAGATTCTCCTCCAGATTGACCCACTCGGTACCCTACTTTTAAGTATCATCTATATACTGATCGTTCCCCAATACGACGAGTCTCGAGTCTTGACATCTCACCAAAACTTTAGACTCCTTACCCAACTGTTTACTTGCCAGGTGTACAAGCCAAAAGTCATTGTCACTCATTTCCCACATCAATAAGCTTTGTATATGTCACCGCTAATTTGGGAGGGAATTTCTCACTTCTTGCTCCTCTAGTCCCAGTCACATTGTTTCTTTTTTTCCTAGCTCTATTGAGATATAATTGACATATAACTTTGTGTAAGTTTAAGGTGTAAAATATGATGATTTGATACATCACATGTTGTGAAATGATCACAAATGTGCTTTTGTATCAGATCCAAAAAATTGCTGGAGCCTTTCCCCTATGTTTTGTTCTAGAAGTTTTAGTTCCATGTCTTACATATATATCTTTAATCCATTTCAAGTTAATTTTTGTGAGTGGTGTAAGATAGGGGTCTGATATCAGTCTTTTTCATGTGAATATCCAGTTTTCCCAACATCATTTGTGAAAAAAACTATATTTTCCCCATTTAGTATTCTTGGCTCCCTTGTCAAATATATGTTGACTGTATATGCATGGGTTTATTTCTGGGCTCTCAATTCTATTCCACTGGTCTACGTGTCTGTGTTTAGTGCCAATACCATACTGTTTTGATTATAAGAGCTTTGTATTATAGTTTGAAATCAGGAAGTGTGGTACCTCCAGCTTTGTCCTTCTTTTTAAATACTGTTTTGGCTATTGGAGTTCTTCCTCTCTGCTCCTTAGATGCACAGACCAAGCTTTTGCCTGTTTAGTGCCTTTCAACTTGACATTTCCACTATCTGGAATGCTCTTCCCTGATCTTTGGGTAGTTTTGCTCCTTCATTTCATTCAGGTCTCAGTTCAAATAACATCTTATAAAGAACTTCTTGATCATGCTCTGAAATAAGCATCCTCTCAAACTAGCCTTCAGTGATCAATCTCTATCTCTTCATCTCATTTCATTTTTATAGCATTTATCACTACCTGATACTATATTATTTTTTATTGGTTTGCTTGACTATTATCTACTGTACCTATCTATACCTACCTATATCTATTACATTATGAGCCTAATATAATTTAATATCTATTTGATAAGTTAGCATTTTTTTTGAGTCTTCCTTCCTTCCTCCCTTTCTTTCTTCCTTCCTTCCTTCCTTCCTTTCTTCTTTTTCTCTCTTTCTCTCTTTCCTATTTACCTGGATAGCTGGTGAAAGTCCCTCTTTGTATGTGTTTCTTTATAATCCTATAAAAGTATTTGCATTATTGTCCAGTTCTCTTGTGGTGCTCTTCCAGAAAAACTTTCAATTCAAAAGCAAAATCTATGAGGTGGGGTGAAATCATTTGCAACACATCTTGCTTCTTAAAGAAACTAAATTGTAAAAATATAGCTAAAGTGTGTTATTGTTTCAAAGCTACAAATAAGAGTATATCTACTACCTTACAGTACAGATGTGAAATTAATTTCATTTTTAAAAGAAGCTGGTACTATTTGCCCCAAACAACAGAGAATTTGTATCCACTTCCATTTGCACTTACTGCTTCAAAGATATCTTCAACCATAAACTTGAAGGATTAAACAAATAAAAAGGACTCCTGTACAATTCAAACATCATCTGCTGTTTTTAAAAGACATGATGACTCACAGACCCTTGAAAGTCAGAGAGCTTGGAGGGTTGTGAACAGCGTTTCTTTCTACTCACCCTGCTTCTTTCATATTCTTTCCTTGAGGCAGCAAAGAGCTGAGCATTAGATATGGCAATTCCACAAAATGGAAGATACATCTGCATAACCTGGGGGCAGAGAGAGTGTGTTAAGAACATTAAAACCTTACTGCACCAAATGCTATATTCCTTGCATTGGCCTGATTATAATACTTTCTGTTCAACACAGAAATCGAGTATGGAATTACTGATACGAGTATCTTAACTTTAGAAGGGATATTTTTCAGAGTTGACTCTAAGATGGTCTCAATCAAGCTTTAACTAGGGACAGTCACATCTATGAGCACATATAGTGAAGCAACAATGATGACTAATACAGGAACTGTACCTAAATCATCTGTGTATTCCTTCTTTGATCAGTGAAAAAGGAATAAATGAATCAACTCATATATCTAAAATGTAAGGCAAGTGTCCACATTCATATTTGGAGGGCGGCAGGCTCTGAGTCAATTTCCTTGTACATGTGTATCTTTACCAAGGTTCTCAGCTTGACCCTAGCACACTGCTAGCTACAAATTTCAGTATGCTTGGTAGACTGGGCCAGTAGGAACTTAGGGGCCACAGGGCCTAATAGCCTCGTGCAAAAGAGCTCAAATTGTGCCCACTGTTCTGTTGACATAACTGGATGTGAATGCAAATGTGTGGGATGATCCTACAGAAGCCTGTTTGAGGAAAGGTTGGGGATCGTTTCAGAGAGCACACTTCTCCTATGGGAAGAAACAGCTCGGTGTGGTGGGCTCCATCCTAACAAAGACTTGCTCATCATTTCATCATCACTTATTATCAGTACTGCCTGACACTCTCACTCAAATTCATCTCTGGAATCTCTGATTCCAAAGAGAGAGAGAATGCCCCAAGTAAAAACCAAAGGAACGATTTCCCTAGACTCTTCGCAACATAGAACATTGTGACGAGCAAGATTGCTTTGGGATTTCTCTAAGGAAAAGGGCATGTTTTGTTCCATCGTCTTCCTCCCTCCCTCCGTCTCCTTTCCTGTCTCTGTCTCTCTCTCTCTCTCACACACACACCCCACACTGCAATGTCCTGTGAAGAGGTACCGAGCAGGGGCAAAACAGAGCCGCTCCTGCATGCCCAGAAGGCGGAAGTGCAGTGTTCACCACGGGTGAGCGATGAGAATAGCAGGAGCCGCGGGAGACGCCCGTGGGACCCGCAGAACACAATTACCTAGAGTGGAAGGTGATTTTGCAGAGGGCTTGAGAAAGACAAAAGATGAAGGACAATCCACATTCCCTATCATTTCTTTCCTATTAAAATCTTGCTTTGGCTGCCTGGGCTTACTCAACTCTGACCTCGGGTCCCAGGAAGTGTAGCACAATGCTGTAGAAGCTAATATGGCGACACCGCTCCTGAAGAAAGACAAACGGCAGGATTGGGAGTAGATAGACATACAAAACCAGTGAGTTGATTTTTGACACATTTTTCCAGGATAAATTCCTTCACTGAATTTGGTTCGAACTTCTATTTAATGAGGACCTACTAGGTGCCAGACACGCTCACTTCATTTCGTCATCTGAATAGCACATCAACTTCTCACGGAGAGACTTTAAGTACATTTTAGAGATCAGGAAATTCAGTAACTTGCTCAAACTCACACAGGAACTCAGGTCATCTTCTTCTACAACTGATGATCATTCCTTACAACATGCTGCCTCCTAGAACGAGGTGCTATTTCTGTCATCCCCTCATTCCCTTTCCTTACTACTCCCCCTCATGCCTTAGGAAGTTTGTTGCTAAGCCCGGATAAAGCTATTGACATAAAGCTGCCAAATATTCTGCCAGAATTTCCCTGTCGTTAGCCAGAATGGGACCACTTTCAACATTACCTACACACACAGAAAGCACTTTTCTTTTGTTTCCTGTTTTTTCTCTGTTGTGGAGGCAGTGACTGTGATGGAGGTGGAGGGGAGGAGGAGATACGGGTTATTTTACTCTCTTCCTTTTCCTTCCTTTCTTTTCTTTCTTTCCTCTTCTCTTCCTCCCTCCCTCCCTTTATCCTTCCTCTCTCCCTCCCTTCCTTCTTTCCTGTATTTATTTGCCTTCAGAGACCATGTTTAATATGGTTTGTAGGTTATGCAAGTAGGTAGAGAGAATGACCAAATGAATATGTGAAATGTTTTTTTTTTTTAAGATTTTATTTATTTATTTGACAGAGAGAGACACAGCGAGAGAGGGAGCACAAGCAGGGGCGAGGGGTAGAGGGAGAAGCAGACTCCCCGCTGAGCAGGGTGCTTAATGTGGGACTTGATCCAAGGACCCTGGGATCATGACCTGAGCTGAAGGCAGACGCTTAACAACTGAGCCACTCAGGTGCCCCACGTGAAATGTTTTCTAATATACCTGGGCTTGCTTCAATTCATTTGTGATACCAATATTTATTGAGCTCCAAGCATTGTGTATAATTAAAAAGAATGTGAATTTTAAATTAGATGACCATTGTCCTTTGTATGGCTTTTCTGTGTGAAAGCCAAAAAGTCATTTAACCTTTCTGAACCTATTTCCTTATCTATAAAATGCCTGGTTTCACTGGCTAATCTTTCCTTTTTAGTTCTAATATTTGGTGATTCTAATCAGTAGAAACATCCATGAGCTGTAAAACAAAGAATTCAATAAACATGCTCATATTTTATTCAAGAAATAACCATTTGTAGTAGTAATTGATATTGACACAGTCCTTGGATATGATGTTAAGCATTTTATATGTGCTCTACCCTCTGATCCTTGTAATCACATATGTCATACCATTTATACCATTTTTCGGATGGGAAAACTGAGGCTTTAGAAACTTACTCAAATTTGTTGGGAGATATCTCTCCATGGGTCTCTCACATTTCTGCACAGCTTACAAGCAAAGGCACTGCTCTATCTTTCAAAGGTGTTTGTATAATGAACAGCCTTGGGAAACCCTATCTTTTTCCAGAGCGAAGAGCAGACTTGTTTACTATGAAGTATCATTAAGGGAGTATCTCTCTCTGGGGCAGAGGTCTTGCAGGCTTACTGTCCATTATGAAAGACGTGTGTTTCCTACATTTGTGGTTCCTCTCCCATAACCGATGTCCTGTGTCATCAAGATGAGGCTGTTAGCGAACATTTCATCCCAAGCCAGAAACAGCTGTTCACATATCATTAAGACTATTTCATTTTTGGGGTGCCTGGGTGGCTCGGTTGGTTAAGCGTCTGACTTTGGCTCAGGTCATGATCCCATGGTCCTGTGATGGAGCCCCACATTGGGCTCCTTGCTCAGCAGACAATCTGCTTGTCCCTCTCTCTGACCCTCCTCCTCCCCCTGCTCTTTCTTTGCCCAGCTCTTTTTTCTTGCTCTTTTTTTTTTCTTTCTTTCTCTTTCTCTCTGATAAATAAATAAAATCTTAAAAAAAATTTAAAAAAAGACTATTTCATTTTTCATTTATCCTGTAGGTGTATTGATATGAACTCCCTGACATAGTTAATTAGTATTTGTAATTGTAGGGTAAGAACCCCAGGAACAGTTACTGAGATCCATGTTAAATTTCTTTATTCCCTTTTTACTGAGTTAGTTGCTATTTATTTTATTGTCTCATTCCATTGATTCCCCCATCTACTACATTGCATTTCCTTTATTTTAGTGATTAAAACTAGAAAGTCTATGTATATACTTAATAAAATCTAAATAACATCTTTAGCCTCCTTCCAAATAAGATAAAGACACTGGAATACTTTTACCTTCCTGTTATATATGTTACTTTTTTTACTTATATCTTATTTGTTACTACAAACTGCACATTATTATTATTAGTTCATGCTTTATTTAGATTTACCCACATGTTTACCAATTTTTTCCTCTTCATTCCTTCTAGCATCTCCTTCTGTCCTTCTGGAATAATTTTTCTCTTTTTGAATCCTTTAGGATATCCTTTAGCATTGCTGGTAAATGTGTTATTTTTGTTTTGTATAAAAATGTTCTTATTCTATGATCAATCTTTAAAGGTAATTTAGTTTGGTATACAATTCTAGGTTGACAGCTATTTTTCTCCATACTTAGAAGATATTATTCTCTTATCATGTGCAGCTGATGCTGCTAAAATAGTCAGCTGTCAATCTAATTCTTTGTAGGTTATCCATCTTTGTCTCTTGTTTCTCCTAGGACCTCTTTCTGTCTTTGGTGGCCAGTCTGTACTTTTCCAGCCTCAATCAAAGGCTTAACTGAATCATATAGAACTCTAAATATATTGGCCAAAGATTACTGAGGATGGAGAGAATATTATACCCTTATGACACATTGCAAACTGGGAGGGGATCTTGATTTATAAAGAGAATGATTTCCCTGTGTCATTTATTGGTAGAACAACTCAACACTCTGAGGCCAGAGTCAGTTCCACTATGGACACCTACATGACAGTATGATCCAATGAGTTTCTAAATAAATATCCAGGAGAATCAGGCAAATGCATTTTGAAAGGAGGAAGTGAGAAGAAGCAGAAGCAGTATGGAAATAGGAGATAATGAAAAATAAAAATTTTTATGTCTTTTTTTCAGTCCCAGTGCAACAGATGTCTTTTTTTTTAAACAAAGAAAGAGTGATATTGCTCTATTCTTCTCCTTTTGAAGTCCCCCTCCTCCAAGAAAAAATACTAATTTGGCCTTCATCATCCAGTTTCTGAATACAAAAGGTCTAAAAAAACCTTGATGACTAAGAAGCTAATGAGTCTGTACACCCTTGTGCAGTGCTTTTCAGCTTGAAAGCACTTTATGAACATTGGCTAATTAATCTTTACAACATACCACTCGGAAAGGGAGTTAAACTGAAAATCATTTAACAGTGCAGAGAAGTCCCTTTAGCCCTAGAAACTCATGAGAAGTGTCACTAATAAGCATAAAATGGGAGCAATGGGACCTTCCATCAATGTCCTAAAGAAAGACAGTAGGTACTGAACCTTTTCAAACTTACAGACCACAGAGAAAGGTTATTAAAGCCTCCTGGGCAGGGCTTGTCCAATTATTCATCATTAAAGGACACTGGAGGTCTACATTGGAGATTCTTTGAGGGGCCTCGGGCCATCCCCTTTATGGAC